TAAGGGAAGCAACATCAGTAGACAAATGACGAAATTGCCATTAACAGCAGTAACAATCGAACACATAACAGGATCTTGTCTAATGTTTGCAAATTCAGACTATTTCAAAATACACGAAACTGTGGCATCAGAATATAGCAGGAGACACAGTATCAGCATCGCCTTATTACAAGTTCGAACCACCCTCAGCTTTGATAACAGTGATGCCAAATTCGATTGGGATAGAGAAATCGAAACTGACGTCACCTTTTAGCCAAAAGGCCTGACATCACTCTAGGAGACGAGAAAGAAGAAGTCCACCTAATTGACATAGCCACCTCACTCTCCCAGAACGTCGATAAATACTATAATAGCAAGATCATCAAATACAAGGACTTAGTATTAGTAGTTAGAAAGTAAAGAAACACTGGAAAGTTTAAAAAAACTTTTGTTGATCCTAGTATATTTGAGCCTCTTGTATCATTCCTATAAATCAAAATAAAAACTTGGAAATTATAAAATTAGAAAAACATTTGTCAAGACTGCAGAGATCAGTGACACTGGAACTCTTTCACATTGCAAGAAAGTTCTTGGGAGACAAGCTTATTTAAACTTGACACATCGTTCATTCAACCAAGTGTGAAAACCTAGCGAAGGCTATGGAAAAGGAAATAATACTAATACTAATACTAATAATACTAATACTAATAATAATAATAATAATAATAATAATAATAATAATAATAATAATAATAATAATAACAATGAAAATATATTTACCAACAAGTTCAAACTGTCATCGCTGGCAGAGACCGTTGACAGCAAACACAATGTTTATGCAATAGAGGAAATGGCAATGACACAAGGAGAAGGCGCAATTCCCAGAAGTATAATCAAGGTGAAGATGATGCGTCGTGAGCCCTTCGTGAGAGAAAAGTTTTAGAAGGGGTGAAGAAAGAAGTACTTGATTTTCTCGTGTTGTAATATTGAGGTGTTTATGCCCATTGCATTAGAATGCACTTTAATCTTTTCATCCAGGCTTTTGATGCTGGGTGGTCGAAGACGTGATCTTTGAGACCGTCTCTTGATGCGTGAATCAAGTAGAAACAAAGGTGTAATTCGATAACTAAGTTTTAGGCAAGGATTTTGAAAATTCGATTCGGCTATAGTACAGTGAGGAATGAGTTCTGGGGTTTTATATGTTGTGTAATTGTTCACAAACCTGAGAGCTAATGAGGTATTTTTATTTCATTGCCCGCGGCGTAAAAATTGACTCTTCCATTATCGTCCCACGATTGCATAATTATATTTGATCTGTAATTGCGTTGTAAATGAGGTATTGAGTCAGTCGTTGATTTCATGGAAGCGCACGGCAAAATTATTTTGCTATTTGAGGTACACAATGTGATCAAAAGTGTCCGGACACGTACAAAATGGTGTTATGGTGTGGTCATTTTTATATGCATGCCCAGTTTGGATCAGCGCAGCCAAATCTAATACAAATAAACTTCAAGTAATCCAAAATCAGTTCCTCCGCTCCATCAGGAATGCCCCATGGTACATCTCCAATGCCCACCTCCTTAAATAATTCCAGCTAGATCCAACCGTATCATTTTTGTATCCACTTACTTCTTCCAAAACATCCCAAATACACCCAACCTAACCCCGCTAAGAGTGCCAAAATCCAATACACAGAACCCGCAACAAAATAAATTTCCTTTCCATACATTCCTAAATACATTCTCAGATCTTGAACCAAAGTAGAGATATTATATAAAGATACCTCTACCACCCTTGTAGTAATGTAAGTTGTACTTTAAGAATAGTAGTAAGATTATTTTACGTTAATTATAAGTAGATATAAGCAATTATAACAAATTTAGAGTGTATTAAACACTGATCTTTGTATTGTCCTATCTAAATGAAAATAAATAAAAAAGTACCTGAGTTGGAACCCTATGTTTTGCATTCACGTTCTGTGAATATCAGCATTATGTTAAATTATTTGTATAAATAAATCTATGGAAGGATATGGTTGAAAAACAAGAATATTCATTTTATCGACAAGATGCACACATTTTAAATTTATTGTAGTCGCTATACCAGTGTGGCGGTATTTTGACTTTGCTTAAATATATTATTTCAATAATTGTTAAAAAATATCATTAACAGAAATGATTTTTTGTTTATATTTTATAGCCTCTTGTTAAAATCTCGATGTCAGATAATTTATATATACAATCAGAATGCGATAATAAATGAATGTACTCATTACTTTGTAAATTAAAAAATACTATTCCATATAATAATTTATGCTTTTTTGAACAATTACTTAAATAATTGCTGTGTTTTAGCAACGTCAAACATCAGCTCAGTTCTTTCACGGAAAGTATCACAACGACAAACAATTTGTAATTCTATTACATTTGCTTCTCATTAACTCAAAATATATATCCTAACGTTTCAACGTTATCTCTGTACCCTAAGTAGCTATTCTTTATACAAAATAACAATATGACATTAGAACTGAAAAAAACTAATTCAAAAAAACTGGGTTTCAACTCATGTCACCAAACAAGCAACACAGAGCGAGACCCGAAGACATCTGGAGAAAATCCGTTGAGTCCTGCTTCTGCTTTTCAAAGGTCCCTCTCATACAAAGAGGAGTGAATTCCTCTGTGCCGTGGATTACGCTATTTTATAAGCAGTTGAACTGTGCAGCATGGAGGGTGGGTTGGGAACCACCATTCTACCCAAAACCAATAGTATACTCGCAAATCTCCACAATGTCTTCAGTGGTTATCTACAAGTCTTACAAGTCTTGAACTCCTGTATGCCACCTGGCGGGACTATTAGACCGGAAGACATATGCCAGCGATCGTTCAGGTTGTGCCACTCTCTGCATCTACGTAGGTAGGAACTTTGCTCTCCTCGAGTCCCTAGAGAGAAGTGTTTTCTTTGGTGCCGCCAATTTCGCCATTTCTGATTCAAGTGTCAGCAGAGTTGGAACTGAAGTATTGTGTGTCTGGAAGTACCCAACTGATAAAGCAATACTGATATCTTTGAAAAATTCCATAAAGCTCTCAATTGTTATAATTTGCCTCCAACCCCAATGCTGCCTGACGAGTGTATCTTTCAACATTTGGTACATAGCTAGGTCGAATTCCGCCACTGATTGGAGGAAACTTCTGCTCTGTTCGATAGTTTTTCGTTGTTTCTGCGATTAATGGCGAACCAGTGACAATCACCAAGAGAAAACTGGACTAGAAGCCTCACAAACGGGGCACAGACCGTGCGAAGCTTTCTTTTTCTTCCTTTTCCTTTCCTCTCCCTCACACACACATTTACTCACACTTGCACTTACATGCATTACACTACCACAGGCCGGGAGACCAATCGGGAGCATTAATCAACCGGCTGGGCGAGATACCTGTTGGGTAAATTCTCCGCAAGCCGACGTGTAGGCCGGCGCCGGATCTTACCATTGAACGGGGAATGTTTCATCACCCCGCTACAGGATAAACACTAATGGGGCTAATGGCCGTAGCAGTTGACGTGCCCCGAAACGATCAGTCAATCTTATGGGTGTTTCAAGTGATAGGTATTAAATGGCCGTGGTTGATCTACAATACAGTATATCTACAATACAGTATATTTCCAATATACTCCGATTGTTAGTGGCACTACAAGGTCACGAGCTGGATGGAGGGTAGACACTACCATCCCATTGGGAGCTTCGTTACGAGTTAAATTTTCGGTATTAGAGCTCCAGAATGGATGCCCATGTCCCTCTCTCCTTCCAGCTCTTCCAGTGGCACTACGTTTAAATCGGAGTATAGCTAGGGACTCAACGCTGGCCAGGCGCGCGTCGCTGCGCGGCTCACTCACCGGGGGTCGGCGTCGGGGGCGAGGCGCGCGCCGTTGCGCAACCACGTGATGGTCATGGGCGCGTCGCCGGCCGCCTCGCACAGGAAGGTGGCGGCGGCGCCGCGGCGCACCGTCTCCCGCGTCAGCGGCGCCAGGAAGCGCGGCAACGCTGCACACAAACCGCACGTTGCCGCCGCTGCCGCTACTCGGAGACGCTCATTGGACACACACACACACACACACACACAAGCGCTTTGCGCGGGCAAGTGGGTTGACGCGAGGCTACTCGCGTGAAAGACGGGTGGCCCCGCAAGTAGCTGTTTGCGGAAGGAGTTACAGGAGTGCGCTAGCGGTGCGAGATGAGAGAATATCTGGACACGTGTTGGACAGTTCGCGCGCCGTCGGATGTTTACGTTCCCAAGTGGTATTTATTGATACAAATCACAAAAACGTTATCTTAGCCTAAATATAATGTACGAATATGCACTAGAACTAATCCGAGACTTAAGTTTTACGATTAGTGCATTACTTGCCAGAATGTAACAACTTTCAGTAAATGAGTCTTTATTTTACGAACTATTGATTAGCGCTGCTTTCAAATGGAACGAATTAATTGTTAATTATTAATTTTTTTGCCACTTATACGTTAGTTGTAAATTAATGACATTCCGTTTATTTTTTTTTCAAAAGATACATACAGATACGTAAGAAATAAACATAAATGTATTATTTGTGTATATTAATTTATTCTAATATTTAATTTATTCTGCAAGTTCAATTTGGATTAATTACTGATCATTTACAGAAATAACTGGTAATCAATAAAATCAAAACATCTTGGGATGTAAAAAATTAAGGAATTGAAAAGGCTGTGCCCAGGTAAGATAGATGAATATATCCATGACATGTCACCTCAAAAACAAGAATTTATGGGGAAAAATTGATGAGGAAATTTTTTTGGTAGTGATTATTTGTAAATGTTTCGAGTGATTAATTTTGAGGCACCTAGGTAAAACTACAAATTAATATTTAAAATCTATTATGTAAGGAAGAATTTATGCTGGTTTATTTGCTTTTAAACAGAACATCGGGTTTATTGCCATATTGAAGCGTTGTGCCCGTGACTTTCAAAATAAGATGAACAAAATTACTTCCTAATTGAGTTTTCGAAAATCTTCCTCATTCCCCTTTCCACACCCTTTTTCCATGTTTAACCCCATAGTATTAAGAAAACGCTCCGGAACTGAGTGAAGTAACATGAAGACACGGCATAACATAGCTCAATCGTGTCCATTACGTAATCTCATTACCATACTGTAACCGTATACACCTCTCAATGCACAATGTGATTGACGTGTAATTATTTATGACGCGGTTGTTGTGACAACATCAATTATAGTCACCTCCGTCCTGACTATTCCTCAGTTGTGTGATATTTACTCGACGACTGAGCCAATGACAGCACTTTTAATGAACTGACGACAAGTCCGGCACTAGCGACATTGTGTTCCACTTTTGTTCCTGAAAAGCGTGCTGTTGAGATGTTTTTGAATTTTTAATAGATCCGCTTCATATTACCGACGTACATCTGCATTATTCAATGTTAAAAGAATGATTTTTTTATACAATCTACATTTTATTACTATTCATGCAATCAATATTTTATGTACATAAAATATCATCAATCATTTGGCAAAATAATTATTTATTCCGGATCAAGTTTCCGCAGAGAAAACTAATGTGTTATTATTTTAATATCTAAATACAATTATACTTTCTTTTGCCCGAAGTAAAAGTTTGTAATTGAGATTCTTGGTATACAAGAAAATAAATAGACTGCCGAACACATGTACTAAATAGTCGAAAGATATGTAATTACTGTACTACCTTTGGCATGGGAACCTAAATTACAAACGAGGGACGAAAACAAAAATCAATTTTAAAGACTTCGTGAATTTCATTTACAATAGCAGGGAAAACATTTAAAAAATTTGTTCGTGAATTGGAATGAATGAAGTAATGCAATATATCTCCACAAATTCCGAGTGATTAACATCCATGAAAAATACATCAATTTTATAAAGATGAAAATTGAGCAGTTTTTCATATTTTCATGATGTACACGATCCTAATTTGGAAACGTGTTTTATACAGGAAATGAAGTCTTTGTGGAACGTTAATTTTCTTATGATTTATCATTACTATTGGAATCTTAATTAGCAATTAAAACTGATCACGTTTTACTAATTTTAATTTTGTTTGCCCACCAAGTTTTAGAAAAAACCTAAACGTAATTTCCGTCGAATAAAAAATCATTAAATAAAACGTGACCAGGAGAAAAAGGCCAACCGCGCATGCCCGGCTATTTTAGCCATAGGCCACTTACTGGAGCAGTACCCTAACAAAACGTAATATGTCCTCCCTCATTCTTGCCACCTATTCTTCCTTTACACGTACAATGTGTGATACAAAAACTCAGCGAATAATTTTATTACAAAACAATAAGCGTACATATATTTTGAATTAATATTTTTCAAAGTATGTCCTTGGCTAGCGATGCATTTGTCACAAAATTGAATCGACGACTGGAAGCATCTTTGGAAGGCTTCTTTTGAAAGGGCTCGCAGCTGCTGTGTAGTGCCTCTCTCTCTATATCTGGAATGGTGTCAAAACGTTTCCCTCATAGCACCCTCTTTGGGAAGATCCAGAAGTCGCATGGTGCAATACCTGGTGAGTAAGGCGATGTGGACAGACAAGAACAGTTTTCTTTGTCAAAAACTCGCGAATCAAAAGCGGCCTGTGTCACGGCGCGTTGTCATGATGAAGAAGGAAGCCATTGATCAATTTTCTAGTTTCTTACTCCGCACGTCGTTTTGCTAACATTTCAATACTCTCTTCCAAACTTCGGAGTTTATATTTGTTCTTCTTGCAACGAACTCTGATCGCCGTATCCGTCATTTTCTCAAAAACGGATCCAAATTTTTGTTCACACGTTTTCGAGAGTGTAGTGCTAATTGCACACTTTGAGGTGACATAAGATTCATTTTGCTGTTTTTTTTGTTTTTTCAAAAATACACAAATGCAATTTTTTAAATGTCACACGCCGTAAATATGCACGTTTCAAGCGATTTCAAACCATTGCATTTATGAGTAGAAGTGCTTCAAATGACTTCGAACCAAGATTTTCGAAAACAAATACTATTTGTAAAAAATAGCTTGATATTTCGTATTTACAGTAAGACTTAAACGCCATTTTCTTAAAAAGGGTTCCAAATTTTTCGATGAAAATTACAATTTAGGACGAGGGTTCACTCTTCTTTAATATTCTTGAAGTAATATTTAGGTTCCAGTATTAGTAAACCGAAAAATTGAGAAAATTTAAAAAAATATACGTTGGCAGCTGGCAAATGGGGCAGGGCAAGACAGAAATGGTGGGCCAGATCAAAGAAATTACAAAACTAACTAGTACGAGAATGCCTGTGCCATTCTGTAGCACCACTAGTTCTCTTCAAAGATCTAGTTCAATATTCACTGCCTTCCGAATGTACAACTGTTCTCTACCTCAGCTGGTAGTAAACTGTGGTTGAAACGTGTTTTTAGGCAGGCCTGTCTGCAAAAGACATTTTTTTCTTACAAACACACACACACACACTTACTTTGTCAGGAAACTAGTCCGGAGCTTAGAGTTTCTCCTGACTGAGGCGTATGTCCGCTTGACAATATACCTGGAGGAGGAAATCCTCGCAATCTGAGGAGTTGGTCGGCACAGGACCTGTGGTTTCAACGATAAAGGAACACCCTCGCCTACCTGGATGTGAAATGCACTTCACTTACAATAATGGATGAAAAGACTGACATGCGCCACCTGCTGTTGTCGGTGAGCTGCGCCACACACAGGTAGTGGCCCTTGCAAGCGTCGGAGGCGCGCACCAGCAGAGTCGGCGCCGCGATCTTTCCTTCGCCATCCTTGTCCCTTCCTCTCCCCTTGCACACACATACCAGTCCTCCCTCCCCCATACACTAACATGCTCTACGCTACCATACTTGTCACGGGTGCTGTCTGTATCTTAGAACTTTCTTGGCTGATGCGGTTCTCAGCTTGGGGAGATACCGAGATGAAAAACAACAACCACGTAATCCGAGGTGTAGGTCGGCGCCCGACCTCTTGATCTCGCGGTAAAGGAACATCTCCGCTAACCCAGATGCAAAATTCACTACAATTACGGAACTAATGACCCGATGAGTTGACGAGGAAAAAATAAATACTCACTCCCGAGCCAGCGGACAAGGAACTCACAAAAAACTTCGCAAGCGCGCAAGAAGAGTGAGCGAAAAGGCTGCGAGCGCCACGTACCGTTGACTGTGAGCTGCACCACCTTGCTGAGGCCGGCGCCGATGCCGTTGTGCGCCTCGCACAGGTAGTGGCCCTCGTCGGCGTCCGAGGCGCGCGCCAGCAGCAGCGTCCCGTTGGCCAGCGGGGCGTCCACGTCCTCGAAGTGCTGCGTCTGCTTGCCTGCAACTCGCGCGCGCGCCGGCGCACTCCATGCCAGACGCGGGGGCTCTGTGCATCGCGGAGCCACCCCTCTTCGACCCCCCCCCTCGGCCAGAAACGACAAGCCGTCTCGAGGCAGACCTGGGAAGGATGGAGGATGGAGGATGGAGGATGGAGGATGGAGGATGGAGGATGGAGGATGGAGGATGGAGGATGGCAAAATACGGTTCTAGATTGGGCCATTGCTGGAAGGCTTATTCGTTTGGGATTATGCACGAGCAAGGTAAGAATTATTTACCTTAGTTTAAGAGAATATGACGTAATGTTGACAATCTTCGATATTATTCTAGTTTTTCATTACAAAATAATTTTTTGCCAAAAAGTATTATTAATATTATTATTTCTGAATACTCTTGATCATTCATTCTATGATTACTTGGGCATCGCTCCAGTACCTTACCCGTACAATTTACTTAGCTCACGCCAGGCAGAGCGTTCGGGTCACGAACCCTGGCGAAACGAAATAGATGCAACTTCCATCCTCTTCATAAAAGATGCCCCTCAGAAGAAAGCCAGGGCCTAAGGAAATCTGAACCGAAGCAAGACTCTAAGCTCACGATACATACATGGTGAACGCATACTCACTTGCAACGGCCAATTATTGACTTCACTGTCGATCACTAAGACTAATTTTAAACTAATTTCACAGGTGCAGTTACGAAAGTCGAAGGTACAAAACATCGCGTGCCGACGAAGACTAAGTGTAACATCCTAAAAAATGCGATACTAACGACAATGCGATAAATTTTTTGGATGATATCTAGGATGTGCCAGATATCTAGGATGTGCGTATGTGTCTTGTTGAATGCGTATACATGACATCACGAAGTCAATAAATATGTTTGCGAATGAAATTCTATATTTTTAAGCATTAAAATACCATGCTCGTAAACCTTCGAGGCACGTGGTGAAGGCGATAGGGATGGCTTCCACTTTCAGCTTTTCGAGGTCGCAGCAAGTTGAAAGAAAACGACCCTTTCTCGACTGGGCTGGTTATAAACTTGCCCAGCCCACCCGGCGAGCCTTGTAGATCCGAGGTTCATTTGAGGGGGAAACAAATGAGTACCCAATGTCATATGAAAGTTACTATATTTTTTCTAATTAATAATTTTTTATATTAAATGTAAAAGATTTAAAAAGTGTGTGCGACAAATGTGAGTGAATACATTCTTTTCTATCCGGGATGAGCCACGTCTTGGTCAGTTGTGCTGACGTTTCGGCCATCTTGCAGTGGCCTTCTTCAGAGCTATACTGCCTCATTGCAAGATGGCTGAAACGTCACCACAACTGACCAAGACGTGGCTCATCCCGGATAGCCAAGAATGTATTGACTCCAGCCGCGGAAGCCTACGAACGCAATTGTGAGTGAGGTATGGTCAGTGCGCGTTTTCTAGAGCTTGGGAATTCGTACCTCGGCTCTTTTAACATATGATCCTATTTACACGCTCCCATTTGACGAACAGTTTCGAGTTTTAGCCAATTCGTGCATGCTTGAATACCGTAATTACAGAACAGAAGCCACATAATTACAATTATAAAAGTATAGACACTTTATTTACAGAAAACTTGTAATTGTAGTGTACCATAGCTAATATAGAACATTGTTGAGAGGACGTATGAAGAAGTTGTTAGCGACTTATTGGTGAAGAAAAGTTGTTAGAAAGTAAATGGTCTGGGAAACTGCAAGTTCTCTTTTTACAAGTTTTCTTATCCAAGACATTTCATAAAATATATTTCAATAAACTGAACGAGATCAATCGTGAGCACACTGTAGTTTTTAACTTAAAGTCTTGTTCTTGGAATAGAAATGTTTTTATCTCTGACAATGTTTTGATTGAGTATAAATAAAAGCCTTAGCATTAATTCTCCAGTTACTTTTACTTTCTCGACATACTACGGACTTGCGGTTTAAAGAGAAAGTATCGTAATTATACGGCATAAATCGGCGATTTTTCCGCAGAGAAACTCATTTTCGGTGACCATGATAGGGAGAGAGTGGATAAATCGTGTTTCTATGTCTAGTAAATTGCATCCTCTAACACGCTGTGTTGTCAGAATACAGTTTCGTGAGTCTTTGATACCGAACAAATGATTAACGGCAATACTTGATTGACAAACTGTCTGTTGTACCTTCTGTCCGTCCGTAAGTCTGGCGTCAACGCCAGCGCCTAAACCGTTCACACAATTGTCTTCAAAACGTATATTTCCTCCATGGGTATGAACGAATTCAAGGTTCTGCTACTTTGAGAAGGATATTTTGATTTTGGGGGGTACATTACATGAAATCTCAACAATATTTTCAAAATTTTTCAAAAATGGCTCCCAATTTTTCGATTAAATTTTTTCTCGGATAGCTCAACAATCGCTTAAAACAAATAATGCAGTTCTAATTTTTCTGAACACTCTGGATTTTCGAAAATTACAAAAATTAGAAATAATGTGTGAATGTATGTGCTGGTGGAACGCCAAGAGTGTTTAATAATCTAGAAATATAATTATAGTCACAAAACTAAACAAATAATGTGATTAAAATTCAAATTAAAATACATAAATAAGAAGGTTTATTTACCCAATTTCGTGATTTTACTTTAAATGAAAGGGAGTGGGCTCAATATGTTTTATCGCTTAGTGCTATTAACTGCTTTTACAGCAAAAACTCTAAAGTTTAATGAACGTGTCAGACACATGTTCAACTCTGTGTTTAAAAAGAATAGTGATTGCATTGTTCCAGAATTTGTGAACATCGCTCGTTCTATTAGTTTTCGACCATTAACACTCAACGAAATGAAGCAATGTTTGGGGTTTTCTATTTCCTTTACAGTGAATATGTAGAACTTTTCTACTGCCAATGCTTCTTATACATATTTTTCGCATTATTGCCGCTCGTAATTTTAAGTTATGACCCAACTGTTTTCGGCCAGTTTGATTCTTGTGGCTTGAATGTTTTCTGCAAAACTTGATTCAATTGTAGATCTTGAAATGATGTCATACAGTTTTTTAAAAACATGTGAGTAATTGTTGAGTAATTACATTAAGAGAGGGAAAATGTGTTAGTATGCCGCGCAATCCCACTGGTTTATTGTGGGTGGTATATAGTTTTACATTTGATTAAACGTAAACTTTGTTCTGGTTCAAAGCACATTATCTCCATTACCCTGGATGAATTACAATTTGATTCTTTGACATGAGCAGAAAATTGGATTATCAGAATCAAACAAAAGCTGAATCACAATTGAGTATTCTAAGAACGGGTTTTGCGCAAATTTAATTTTTGCTCGTTACTCTCATTTGAAAACGAATAAAGATCCATACAGACATGTCCACACCAATATATAGCCACTACGATTGAAAACATTCAACGGAATATACCTTTCTGTCCAACACATTTTATCGGATGACGTGGCTCAAGGCATCAACTGATATCCAGTCGGAAGTTTAGAGCTTGTCCCGGCGGAGGAAGTGCCTGGCTTGTGGGTGATAACTGAACGGGGGGGAAACGCGCAAAACGTGTAGGTCCGCCTCGAATCTCACCATCCGCCGGGGGAAGAACATTGCCACCTCACATGAAACAACTTGCCTACATTTCGTGACTTATGACCACAGCACTTGACGAGCGCGGAAACACGATATAATCAATAAATTAATCAATCACCTCAATAATTTTCTCACCGAACTCATACTCTAATGTCATGTCATGTATTGCCATTTCCCCCTCTCACCTCCTTTGCTCCTGCCTCATTGACTTCACCCAGCTGAATTAACGCTAACCTTTCCCCGTACGCATCGTATCGCTAGCTGCCTGTTAGCAGGCTCCTTAGTACAATCTTGTGAACAGAACTCTTAATGTTATTTTGGCTGATGAATCAAAAAATATATTCTTTATTTTTTATAGGTAGGATAGATGCAATATATTTTGTAATATATTGAAATAATTTGAATTAAATCAATTCAGAGTACACTGTAGAATTCAAGTTAAAGAAGTATTCTTAAAAAAGAAATGCGTTTTCAAAAACATTTATCTCACACTCTCGAACGGAGACACGTTGATTTATAATGAATATTTCAAAACGATCATACGTCTGCAATGCGATGTGTTTCCTAGGGAGAAATCGCAATTGCTGCTAAGCATACACTAAGGTAATGATAATTTTTCACATTCCGTAAATATAAATATTTATTACTCAATTACGGATGTAGTACGGTGTGGATTACTTACCCCACCACACAAAAAAATTAAAACTCATTTATATTTGTTTGCTAACCAATGAATTTTTTCAATTTCGCAATTCTCTGAAGCTTAAGAAATTTGCCTAACTTGTGTTACACTTGAATAGATATTAATGGTTTTTATTTGCAAGTAGTCAAACGAATCGTCAAGTTATTGTGAGTTTATTGTAGCGGCAAATAACATCTTCAAATGAAGTATATATTCGATTTAAAAACTCACTCAGTGTTTTACTACCCGCTGTATATGATTCTCTAGGTATTATTTTTTAACTTTTAAGAAATTTTCCAGAAAAACATGATAATTAAAATATTTAATTATACAGCTGCCAAATTATATATATATATATATATATATATATATATATATATATATATATATTTAAATAGAATATAAAGGTTTGAAAGCCACAAAAAAATATGAAATGAGGAATATAAGTTATATTTATCATCCCTTTAAATCTCATCACCATATTTTTGACAATGTACTTTTGATAATTGCAATAGTCATAAATAATATGAAATTGTTGTTTGGATTTAATTGTTTGATATTTCGATGTATTGATACATGTTGATACGTAACAGTTTTTATTTATTGCGAGCGCTTTCCGATCGTTAAGCGGTCATCTTTAGAACTAGTTTCTGAAGAAGTAATTACTATAAGGAATAGCTGATGATGGTCGCTACGGTGTAAATATACTTCAACTAAATGAAAAAACTTGTTGCGTTTAATTTTATTTTGCATGTTGATAGTTATCAGAAATATCTAAGGTTTGTAATGCTGTTCAAGCAATAAATGAATGAACGTGCGGTTTGCTCTGAATTGCAGCAACGCTCTCTGCTTTTGCACACTTTGGAGAAGCGGAATATTGATTTATTATAATCTAATTACTGTGCTTTGAATGGGTACTATTGTGTAAGTGACGTCATTAACCTATCAAATATTTCTCTATTGAATG